TCAAGAGGGCCTCTTAGTGCGAAACCATGAGATTGCCGTCTCAGTTACCAACTCAAGGACCTCTCGGTGCCCCTGGAATTGAAATTTTCCTGTTACATTTATAAATGTTGGGTTTAACATAGTTTAGACTAGAGCCTGAAAGACATCTTGGACCTGGCATTGAGGGAATTTTGCATAAATGCAACTTGGAATATGATTCTTAAAGTCTTTATACTCCCTCAGTCCTAAAATAAGTCCTAAAATAAGTGTCCTGTTTTGAGAACCGTGACTCACATTTTTTTAAAGTCATCTGGTGTCGTATTTTTACTTTGAGTCACGGTTCTCAAAACAGGACACTTATTTTGGGACTGAGGGAGTATAATATGTTAGAAATTGTGAATGAAAATTGTTTAATTAGTCATCAATCGATGCCTTTGACTGAACAGGTGTGATCAATGGTTGGTTGTGGAATGAAAAGATACAACTCAAAACTAATAGACACCATGTGAACCATTACACCCTAATGGAATGGATGTGTCTAGTGGTGAACAGACACCATGTGAACCATTACAACCTATTGGAATGGATGTGTCTAGTGGTGAACAGACACCATGTGAACCATTGCAACTAATTGGAGTGGTTGTGTCCAGTGATGAATAGACATATATAAGTGGTTGTGTCCAATGATGAAGAGACACTTCTAAATGGTTATGTCCAGTAATAAAAAGACACATATAAATAGTTGTGTCCAATGATGAAGAGATACACCCAATAAATGGTTGTGTCCAGTGATAAAGAGACACATATAAATGGTTGTGTCTAGTAATGAAAAGACACATATAAATGGTTGTGTCCAATAATGAAAAGATACACCCAATTCGAAAAGGCACTTCTATTTCTATAAATACCCCCTTGGACTGCCATTTGCAATAAGTTCAATTCAATTTCTTCTCTCTCCCTCTTTAGACTTGAACTCAACCCAAGTGGGTTCAAATCATAGGTCAAGTGGTCCGAGCCACTTAGACCCTAATCCAATTTCATCGAACCATATTAAGATTGGTCCTAACTATTTGGTTCGGATTGCATTCAATTTAACATTTATATAGTATAGATGTATTATTGAGTCAGAGAGAGTATTACACGGAGGAGGTTCGCCGTATCCACGAGTTTGTACTGGTGGATGTAAACCGTTGTATCCTGGGAGATAAACGCTACTGAGTCTGTTAGCACCATAACGGGGCAAATCTGTCTTAAGGATATAGTATCCAATACTAACCTCAATCCAGGTTCTTTATTTTTTATTATTATTTTATTGCTTCAATTTGAATGTTTAATTAAATATCAAGTTGCATATATAATTAATTATTTTAGCATATTATTAATTATCTCATGATATATTAGTATAAGTTTAGTTATATCTTAGATGCCATATGAAGTATATATTTTCCAACATAATATTAGAAGGCCGTAGGAAGCTTCTGCTATGTGGTTGTGTCAGTGTTTGATTAAGGGATATTGTGATATGAGGTATAGATGAGTGAATGGGTGGTCCTTTGATTCCATCTAATTTTGTTGGGAATTTGTTTATACCTAAGCTATAGAGATTAGATGGATTCCAAGGTCTGCTGAGGTGAAGTAGATGCGTTGGTGAAATTGGAAGCATCCACAATGGAGCCAAATTCGGGGGCCTTCTACCCTCCTCCAGTGTTCTTCAAGAATGGTGTGGGGTCGCAGGGGTCTGTCCGGTAGGTTTATGGCGTCTATTCTTTCTCTTTTATGGTAAGGTGCCTTGCACCTACTTTTTTTCACCATTTTTTAATCGAGAACAGCTAAATCCTCCTCCTCCTCATTGCATTATTCTCATATAAATGGAGTAGACCACATGAATTATCTTTTCCATTCTATTCAAGAACTAAGCGATCATGAGGTCAAATGGAAAGCCAATTAAAAGCTTTGGTGATTAATGGCGCCGCAAAAAAGGGTTTGGGAAGAGAGATAGAGACATATTTATATATGAAGCAAAGTAATTCGAGTTCTAAAGAGAATTCGAAGTCTAAACAACCATATTGGGGGTGTGCAAATTGTCGGAACCATGATATTTGGAAATTGTAGGGAGGAGATTGGAAAATCAAAAGCGGAGCCCCATCAAAACCATTGAAGTGACAAAACCTAAATATTGTGAAAACATTTGGGTTATTGGATATTCATTTTGTAAATGTTTCACAGGGAACTTTTATGGGAATTTCATTATGATTCATGGATGTTGTAGTGATAAGTTTCATAAGTATCTTAAGTCATAAATCATCTTGACATTAGCTGAGATATTATGGAAAATGTTAGTCTCTTTTGAATCAAACTAGTCTTATGTCAGTTTGTGGGAACACATCCTCATTAAATTTTCAAAATTAGTTGTTTCTCTTTTCTTACATAAACTCTGTACTTTTGTGGTATCATGTTGTTTTCAGCCTGTGTGAGAGCTGAGCCTGTAATTTACAAAAAGCTGGAAGCATCACCATATGATGTGGCACTCCTCCGTGCTTATATGTTGGAGATGGACCCACTTTTGGCAATCCCCAGCATCCGTGGAGAACTCAAAGTTCAAGCTCACAGGAGCCCAACACTAATTCTCTGGGAGGACGGTGCAATCAGAGGTCGCCTTGAAGACCATGAAGCCCACCTCGAACACAAAATCGACGCCCTTCTTGCTTGAAATTGAGTTCTATGCTTTCTTGTTACAAGGATCTGTTGAATTCTGATTAATAATAACGTTGCACTAATGTAGCCAGTGAAATAAAGTTTTCATGCATGTGAGATGAAATGCTATGCTGACTAGTATAACTTATTACTAGCTCTGCCATAGAAATCCTGAAATTTGCTGCAAGGCATTTGCTTTTTCAAAACAGGATTATCGATTCCTCGTTGTTCCAAAAGCCTTTTCCACTGGTGTAGTAATGGTTGGCATGAACATTTTGCTTCAGAATTAATTAGTTTATACGCGGTGTAAAACATATCATTTTTTTATTTTTATTTTTATTTTTTTTATTTGTTGAAGAACCTTAAACCTGATGCTTTATTATTATTCCTAAAAAAAGCACTAACTCTCAAATGATATATTAAGAAATTGAATTACATGTCATTTTTTTCTCCTCTCATCAACATTGAAAAAATCACTAATTCCCAAACTTACAATATTGCTACTTCCAACCCTTAATTTTGCTATCATATCTCCTCATTGGTACACTTGCCATGATTAATCACTACAAGTGCGAGAGCTGTGAATTAATGGGGAAGTAAGAAACTGGGATTGGAGCTTTACATGACTTCAATTTGCTTTCAGGTTTGTTCACAGAAGCCACTTTCACATCACAGCCACTGGCAAGATCAGCATCTGATTTCCGGGATGGGGAAGACGGCATGAAGCAGCTGAAAATGGCTGAGAAGAGTGCCGTTATTGTTGAACTTGTGTATATAGACTCAAATTGTGTTGGGAAGGCTAAGCAGAGAAAACTTGTGGCCAAATTACTCACTAATGATATGAGAGTTCAGCTGAAATGCTATTCTATATATACTGAGAAAATCACGGCAGTTTGTTAATTTAATAAGTTTTCATAGCAAGAAAGACCAATCTGGCCACTTCAAAGCTAAGTCACATAATCATTCTCAACAAGTGTTGCTTTCACGTTTCAAGCGTGTTTTTGCTCTCACGCTCTGCACACGCTCTCGTTCAAATTCTCACTGTTTATGATTTAATTCTGTCACTCTCATACTTACGCTCCCGCTTTGTGTGACTTAAACTTTAGTGTCTTTATGGCTGTTTTTTGACCCTTTCATTGCTCTGTGCACTGTATTTTCTTTTGGTCACTTTCTACAATATTGAGAACAAAGTAGGTATGCTTATTATGCATTGATTGGTTATTAGTATGTAATGCTTTGAAAATATTGGCTTTCGTGTAGACAAAGTTGAATTTTTCAAACCTTTTAAGTAGGAAATTAAGATCGGGTTTTATTATGTTTCTGAATTGTAACATGTGCAGCAATAACACTGCCTATCATACACGGAGCCCAGTTTTAAAAACCAAGTTTTGAGTACTGCATATATTTTTCTTCTGTGAGGTGTGATGTTGTTATTTCAGTGATAAGTTCAGACTTAAAGTGCCCCACCTTATTAATCTCAGGTTTGATTCTCCATTTCCCAGCTAACTACTAACCATTGCCCGAAAAAAAAGAGTTAACAGAATTACTAAATTTACTATATCTGATTGTTCCTTATTTAATGCATTAATGACCAAGTAGATATAATAGGTCTAACAACATTTTCTAACTCTTCCTTCCAAATCATTTGTCTTACATAAATATGAGAAAAAATTTAATTTTGGAGTTATAGTAATTTTATTTAAAGGATGGTACCACGTTATTATTACATCAAAAATAATATGAAATTTTATTATAACGGTTTTTAACTTTTTTTTTATTAACATTGACCAGAACTACTAAGCAGAAAACATGAACCCATTAACCTGATATTTACTTAAAAATTAGTATGAATTTTTCTTAATAATTATATTATAATATTAAATATAAGAATTTATATTTTAATACTCAAAACTTGTTAAATGTTTTTATGAGAGGTGCTAAATATATAGTCAAAGCATCTGAGAGTGTGACAACACTTGTTATAATTTAATTTTTAAAAAATTAAATTAAATTATAAATATGTTTAAGAAATATTACAGTGAAAGTCTGTGTTGATAAACATGGAGTACATCCTCGAAAAGGTATCTCTAAAACTTCATATAAAATAATTAAAATATATATATATATATATATATTATAAATAGTTAACCTAATTTTAATTTTGAGTAGTCAAAATTCCTTCGTTAAACTGTCCGAAAAACAAAACAAAACTTTTTAAAGATGTTTGACGCCGCCATCTCAAGGGGGCATATTTTCAAGGGTATTTTAGGTAATTCACAACTTAAATTCTAGAAAGAATTCTCACTATCTATAAAAGACGAAACCGCAGTCACCTAATCTTCTTCCTCAAATCCATAGAACACAATTCGATTCTTCCTTAAATCATTCTTCCTTTTTAACAGTTGACAAAAACACAGCATCAACCATGCCGCTGAAGATGTTTGACGCCACCGTCTCGAGCTTCGATGGCGTATTCGAGAAGTTCAGATCGGAAGCAGCCAACAACAAGGCCAATCTCATCGTCTTCTTGGCTGACAAAGACCCTTCCACCTCTCTCAGCTGGTGCCCTGGTATATATATATATATATATTTATACCCAAATATACACATCTATATATGCAATTCCTTAATTTATATCTGTTCTATCTCTTTCAATCATAAAATGGGAATTTAAAACACATTAATCACCAAAAGGGTCATCACCATAAGCACCAAGCGAAGGCCCCCAATATACCCAATTGTACATGATTGAATTCTTTGTAAAATGCTTTGAGCTTTGTTAGTCTTGCATAATTTACAGTAATGGGTTTTTCATAGTTTGTGGCATTTCATTAATTTCATCCCTACTTTTATATTTTTCAATTGTTCTACTTGATTGGGTTTTCTATTATTTAGCTTTCTATAAGAAAAAGAAAAATTTGTGTATTGGTACATATTTCTTAACACTTGGAAAAAAGAAACCAAAAAAAAAAAATTTGTTATTTGAAGGTAAAGTAGTCAACAAGAATTTGTTATTTGCAGAAATGCAACTTGGAATATGATTCTTTAGTTCTTAAAGCCGTCTGGCATTAATTGTATAAGGCCTTCGGAAAGCTTCAGCTATGTGTCAGTGTTTGATTGAGCGAGATTGTGATATGAGGTTTAGATGAGTGAAAGGGTGGTCCTTTGATTCATGGCCCTTATATCCATCTAATGGAGTTCGGGATCTAAAGCTTAAGATTTAGAGATTGGATGGATTCCAACGTCTGGCGATGGTCAAGTAGATGCGTTGGCCAAATTGAAAACATCCACAATGGAGCCAATTTTCAGGGCCCTTCTACCCTCCTCCGGTGCTCTTCAAGAATCGTGTGGGATCGGAGGGTCTTTCCTGTAGGTTTCTGGTGTCTGTTATTTCTCTTTTATGGTGAAGTGCCTTGCACTTACTTTTTTCTCCCTTCTTTGTATAATATAGCTCGAAGGACTCCTCATCCTTATCCGATTGTATTCCTCTCTTCTTCCTAAAAATGTTATTCGAAAAGGAGAAGAAAATTTTTGAATTGTCCATTGGGTGTTGGTGCATCAACTATTACTATTATTGGTTAATTTATTTTTCGAGCTGACTCTTGCATTCAGTAGAATATTGAGTTGTGTATTGCTTACATGTTTGAAATACACAAGGGACATTTCAGTGTGGAGTAGTTTTGCCCAATTGTGTTGAGAGTTTGGCAAAACTTCTGTCCTGCTACATTTTGATTTAGGTTATAGACTTCTTATGTTCATCCATTTAATTCTCGGAGAGAATGGAAAGGAAGGAAAGGCAAATGGTGAAAATGGCTTCCCTTTCTAAAGCATTTTCTTTTTTCTTTTTTCCATTTTCCCTAAGAACTAAGCTAAATCATTCTCATCCATCTCTTCCTTGCATTATTCTCATATAAATGGGGGTCAACCATATGAATTTCCGTTTTCCATTCTCTTCAAGAACCAAGGAAATCTGAAGTTAAAATAGAAAACCAATAAACTTTGGTGATCAATGGCACTGTACAGATGGTTTGGGAAGAGAGAAATAGAGTCATATTATATAGGAAGGATGGTAATTCGAGTTCTAAAGAGACTTTGAATTCTAAACAACCATATAGGGGGTGTGCAAATCAAAAGAGATCGTCGTCTAAAGACTCTAAACCATTAAAGTGACTTAACCTAAATATATTCATTTTGTAAATGTTTCACAGGGAAATTCTTTGGGAATTCATTATATGATTGTAGTGATACTTTTCATAAGCATCTCAGCTTATAAATTACCTTGACATTAGCTGAGATATTATTGAAAATGTCAACGCATCTCTTTTGAATCAAACTAGTACTATGCCAGTTTGGGGGAACCCATCCTCATCAAATTTTCAAAATTAGTTGTTTCTCTCTTCTTACATAGACTCTGAACTTTTGTGGTATCATGTTGCTTTCAGACTGTGTGAGAGCTGAACCGGTAATTTACAAAAAGCTGGAAGCATCACCATATAATGTGGCACTCCTCTGTGCTTATGTTGGAGATAGACCTACTTGGAGGAATCCCCTGCATCCGTGGAGAGCTGACTCAAAGTTCAAGCTCACTGGAGTCCCAACACTAATTCGCTGGGAGGATGGTGCAATCAGAGGTCGCCTTGAAGACCATGAAGCCCACCTTGAACACAAAATTGACGCCCTTCTTGCCTGAAAATGAGTTATATGCTTTTCCTTTTACAAGGATGGTTGTTGGGTTTCTATATTATGTGGGATAATCTTTAACAATGTTTGGCCCTTAGCATCTGTCGAATGCTAATTAATAATGTTGCACTTATGTTAGCCAATGAAATAAAGTTTTTAAGCATGTGAGATGTATTACATAGCGGACTGTAACTAATAACTCTACATGCCATGCGATAGAAATTCTGTAATTTTGTATCAGATTTGCAGGAAGGCATTTGCTTTTCCAAAATAGGATTCTCGATTCTTCATTGTTCCAAAGGCCCTGCTTGGTTTTGAACTCTCAAAAACAGTTTTGTGTTTTGAGAGTTACCAAAATCTAAAACTGCCTTTTTATTCTACTTGGATCGATTTTCACAGAACAGTTTTTAAAAAACCGAGAACTCATAGTATCAGTTTTTAGAGAACAATTTTTTGTTGTTTTGGCTATTTTAGAAAGCTCGGAGACCACATAATGTAAACATGGAGAACAAAAGTTGACTTAAAAAATGACGGAACCCTATATCGTTTATAACAAATGTCTTGGTTCCATCTCTTCAGCCAATTAAAGAAGCCCTCTGTACCGTCCTGTTCAAGCGCGCTCTCTCAGATTTCTTAGCCAAAGTCTCTCTTCAACCTCTCTTTCAGTTTCTTGAAGCTTGTGCTCTATTTTTCTCTATCGAATTAATTGATTTTGTGGTTGTTCACACTTCCGAATTGGGTTGAGGGTTGATAATTTCTTTGGTTGTGTTGAATTTTCTGTTGTTGTTCACGATTTTTTGTGCGTTGGTTAAGGATTGATTATTAGCCGTGATGGATTTGGTTGTGATGGGTTGAGGGTTGATTATTTGGCTTTGGTTGTTTATGCTTTTGATTTGATTGTCCAAACTTTTGATTTTGGTTTGGTTGTGTACAATTTGAACGGTTTCTGATCTTATCTAATTAGCGTTAGATAAGAAACAACAGTACAAACTCATCAAGGGTTTGAACTATCCGTAATCTATCTCGATATTGGTATTTGATTATTAATTTTTGGGTTCTCTGTTGAAGCTGCATGTGTGGTAATTTTCTTTTTTACTTTTTTAATTAATTTACACCATTTATTTGGCTTTTGATTTTCCACTTATTGTTATTTTCTATTTGTTCAAAGTTCATTTTTTTTTTTTTACCCTAAAATGTTTGTTTATTTTGTAAGCAATTTTTATATAACTTCGTATCTATTTCTGTGTGTCCATAGATGCATGTATATAGATAATTTATCAGTTTGTTTTTGTTTTCATTTATGCTAAAGTTTATCCCTTTTTTTTTTTTTTGATAGAAATATTTGAATTTAATATTTGAGAATTTACTATTATTTTGTAAGATATCAAATTTCATTTTTGCCATTAGTATTAAGCTTATTATTTTTTATTTGATCTTTTTACTTGGTTAATGTGGTCCTCTTTGTTATTCTCCATAATGAAACTTATAGGATCAGTTTGGTGCAATGGCAAACGGAGGAAAGGGAAGGGAAGGTGATGGAGGGGGATTAAAAATTTGTGTTTAGCAAAAATTGTTGGAAGGAAAGGGAAGGGTTTGGAGGGTTAACACAATCTTCAACAGTAAATTTCTTAACCTCCCAAAAATGGGAGGAAATGAAGGGAAAGGGAAGAAGAGGCTTGGTGTGTGATTTCAAATGCCAAATTTACCCTTGATTACATGTGAATTTAGTTTGTAAAACAAGAATTACAGACCTTGATTAGTTGATTTAGTAGTTGCAGAGAGAGAGAGAGAGAGGGGGGGGGGGGGGGGGGGGGGACAAGCTTGAGAGTTGAGAGAAAGAGGGCCAGCGGCTGAAGCTTGCAAACGGCGAACCCGAATTGGAATAACGGGCGATGGAAATTGGTATGGGTTTTGATTTTTTGAACAATCTGATATGGGTTTTGATCGATATGGGTTTTGATTTTTTGAACAATCTGAAATTAGATTTTGATTTTTTTGAACCGATATGGGTTTTGAAGTTTTGATTCTTGCAGACAAATATATAAACTGAAATATATGGGTTTTGAACTTCTGATTCTTGTAGTAGTTTGCAGTTGCAGAGAGAAAGAAAAGAGAAGTTTGGCGTTGAGAACAAGAATAGAGAGATGGAGTTAATAACAAGAATAGAGGCGAAATGATTTGCCCTAGAGACTGTAGAGGCTGAAATTTTATTTTATTTTATTTTATTTTTTTCTTGTGGGCCTAGGGACAGTATATATATATATATATATATATATATATATATATATATATATATATTAAATATAAAAGTATAACGGTCAATTTATTAAAATAATTCCCTTTCTTTTATTTCCCCATTTTTTCCCAAACGTGAATCAACCAAACACAATACCAAATTAAAATTATCCTTCCCTTCCCTTTCCCTCATAACTAAAGTTATCCTTCCCCTTTAAACCCACCCTACCAAACATAGCCATAGTGTTTTGTTCTATGTTGTTAATTTTATTTTATTTATATTTATTTTTACAACACTTTTTTAGTGACAAACTTGGTCCGATCCCATTTTGGGTAGTGTTGAATCTTTTGTCTCTTTCTAAATATTTGAATTCAATAGAGAGGGCATCGCTATCTTTTTGGTTGACTTTAATAACTAAGGGGGATTATGATATTTTTCGTTGTTACTTTTGTTTTGTGAATATCTTAAAGGGTAAAGTGCAAAAAACCCCCCTGAACTATGGGGGTTTTGCAACTAACCCCCCGGAACTACAAGAAACCCCCCTGAACTTTTAATTTGTTACAGTTTGCCCACTCAGGCCACCGAAAAAGTAAAAAGACGAAATTGCCCTTCCAATATTCTTATAATATCAAACTAACCAATAATGGTTGATATTTATTTATTTTATATAATTAATAATTGTGAATTGCTTTAGTCGCCGACATCTCCAAACCCTAACCCTCGACGTGTTCAGAGCTGTGCATCACCATGATCAAAGTGTCTAATATATATATATATATATCAGCATCCTTGTGCGTTTATATATATATATATGGGAGAGATAGGGTTTGGCCACTGCAAAGACCACCGGAAAAAGATGAACTACGCTTACAGTGGTGGTGCTGTTGCGAAGCAGAGGAGGGCGAAACCAGATGAGGCATAAAAATTGACGAAATTGGTGAAATTGATGAAATGGGTTTGGGAAAATGATAGTAATTTGGGCAAGTTCCTTTCTTAAGATGCTCTGAAGCAGTTCTCGATGGGTTCGAAACAGAGAAGAGAGACTCACACAGAGAACACCTCAATTTCACTGCTTTGGGTGGGGTTGTGAACCAGAATGAGCTCAAGGTGAGACCAGTACCAAGCCCCTTTGCCCTTCATCGCTTTGTTTCAAACCATCACCAACCCTTGATCATATCGTTTTTGCAGAGACTTCACCACCGGCCGCCATCAAACCCAATCGCTGCTGTCGTCGTCTCCTGCGCCTGCCCCGCCACCGTCTCTTGTAGTGGCAGAGGGACGAGCTCGGATGAAGCGATGGTTGCGGGGATGAGCTTGGATGGTGGAGAAGATCGGCGAGTAAGGTGGGCTGAACGACGATGGGCTGGTTTGGCCATGGTTGACTCACGACGATGGGCTGGTTTGGCCATGGTTGGCTCACGGCGATTGACTGGTTGCGGCTTAACTGCACAGCGGCCGACGCCACCGAGTAGCAGTTCCACGCCGCCTTCGTTCCCTAGGGAGAACCAGAGATTATGTTTGAAGGGGGTGGTGGCAGTGGCTTTGTGGGGTTTTGGTTTCACGGTGTATGATGGGTTTGATGGAGAGAAGGTAGGGCTGTGGTTGGTAATGGTGGGTGATGGTGGTGGCGTGATTGGGGTGGTAGTGGGTTTGTGTACTACTTTTGATGGTGTGCCGTTGAGATGCCGATGGAGGTGGTAGTGATGATGGTGGGTTTGATCTAGTTTAATGGTGTGTTTTAGCATGAGTTCAGGGGGGGTTTCATGGTGGTTATGTTGGTGGTTGCAGACGGTGGTGGTGGTTAGAGGACAATTTGGTATTTTCATATATGGAAGGGCATTATTGGCCAAAAAAACTCAGTTTGTCTATCGCGTGATTCTCACGCGCTCATTTTTGGACGGCCGGTCACCGGATGGGGTGATCTGCAACTTTTTTGCATAGTTCAGGGGGTTTCTTGCATTTTTGGTAGTTCAGGGGGTTTGTTGCAGATATCCCCATAGTTCAGGGGTTTTTTTTGCACTTTACCCTATTTTAAAAAGAGAACTTGTAAAAGATAAAGATAAAGAACTTGAAGATCAAAGGCAACACTGATATACACTCAAATCATGATCGAGAGACTAGCTGATATCATAAGTTATTTGAGAAATTCTTTTAATTTCAGAAAAAGATCTAAAAGAAAGAACACCATACATCATCAAGGTAAGAATTTTTAGGTCAAAAAGTCTTCTGCAATTGTATCATTCTCAACAATGAAGCAGGATCTTATTTCGACATTCTTCAACTTCAGAATTTCCTCACTTGATTTCAATAGCATGTACAATAGTGAAAGCTCTATTCATTGTGTATGTAAGCTAAATTATATTGGTCCTCTTAAATATTTTATCTTACTAGTTTGGGTGGTTGTGGTCTGAAAAAGATATTGTAAACATTTATTTTGCTTTTGGTGATTTATTGTAAACAATGAAAGTGATAAGTGAAGAGCGTGTGATAACGGTGAAAACACATGTACTAATCATTTTGTATCAGTGGATCGTTGAGACAAATCATATCACTAGAAGTAAATCTTGTGGCCCTTTTTACTCTATTTTAAACTTAAGTAATATTGTATTTGTGTAATTCTTATTAACTCTTTAAGAGTAAAACACCTGTGACACTAGTTAATAAATAGTGCATTAGTAATTAAAATAAACAAAATAAACTCTCATCTCTAAAACAAACTTTTTAATAATTTTTCTAAATTTACGGCTAACTCTGAGAGGTTGCTGCTTATCCATTGAGCCATCCCAGTTGGTTCGATTCATATGGTAATTGTAATATTTTACCATTGGAATATTGAACACCAAAGGTGAATTTTGTCTTTTAGACTCAGTTTGGTACGATGGAAATTGGGAAAAAGAAAAGAAAGGAAATTGAAGAAAATAAAAAATTGCGTTTGGTATAAAATGTTAGATTAAAAAAGAATGGAATGGAGGGGTTTGAAAGGAAAAGACTAAAATATAAACAGTGCCCTTATATCTAAAAGAGAAAAATTCTATAAAAAAGGGTATGATTGTAAATTTATTATATTAATTTTTTTTCTTTTTTTTGTTCTAAACATGATTACTATAATTTTTTTTTTTTTCTTTTCCCTTATTAATCCATCAAAAACAACAATTAACTAAAATTATCTTCATTGTGTATGTAAGCTAAATTATATTGTCCTCTTATCTATTTTATCTTGCTAGTTTGGGTGGTTGTGGTCTGAAAAAGATATTGTAAACATTTATTTTGCTTTTGGTGATTTATTATAAACAAGGGAAGTGATAAGTGAAGAGCGTGTGATAGCGGTGAAAACACATGTACTACTAATCATTTTGTATCAGTGGATCGTTGAGACAAATCATATCACTAGAAGTAAATCTTGTAGCCCTTTTACTCTATTTTAAACTTAAGTAATATTGTATTGGTGTAATTCTTGTTAACTCTTTAAGAGTAAAGTACCTGTGACCCTAGTTAATAAATAGTGCATTAGTAATTAAAATATACAAGATAAACTCTCATCTCTAAAACAAACTTTTTAATAATTTTTCTATATTTACGGCTAACCCTGAGAGGTTGCTGCTTATCCATTGAGCCATCCCAATTGGTTCGATTCATATGGTAATTGTAATATTTTACCATTGGAATATTGAACACCAAAGGTGAATTTTGTCTTTTAGACTCAGTTTGGTACGATGGAAATTGGAAAAAAGAAAAGAAAGGAAATTAAAGAAAATAAAAAATTGTGTTTGGTATAAAATGTTGGATTAAAAAAGAATGGAATGGGGGGTTTGAAAGGAAAAGACTAAAATATAAACAGTGCCCTTATATTTATAAGAGAAAAATTCTATAAAAAAGGGTATGATTGTAAATTCATTATATTAAATTTTTTTTTTTTCTTTTTTTTCTAATCATGATTACTATAATTTTTTTTTTCTTTTCCTTTTCCTTTATTAATCTATCAAAAACAACAATTAACTAAATTATCTTTCCCTTTCCTTTCTTTTCCCTCTTAATTAATGTTATAATTTCTTTTATTTTCTACTCACCCAAAATTGCCATTAAAGTGGTGGGAACAGACGGGCGACTAACATACAATTAAAGTCCAATTTGGATAAAGCGATAAACCCTTTTGTTTCTCACTCATCACCTCTCTACTCTCTCTCTCTCTCCCCATTGCTCCTCATCATTCTTCAGCTACCTCCACAAATATGGCAACAATCTCTTCCATACTCTCTCCCAATCTCCTCCAAAACCCCACAAAGCTCTTCACAATCCAACAATTCCAAACACAGCCCTCAAAACTCTCTCTCCACACCCTCAGACCACCCCAATTTCACAATTCTCTCAAATTCCCCATTTCACGTCTTGTTTCAAACCCTAGAGAACCCACTAGAGTCTGTGCCGTTGCCGAAGAAACATCGGTGTCGACCCAAGACCCGTCGTCGGAGGCCGCAAGGCGGCTCTATGTTGGAAACATTCCCCGGAATCTCGGCAACGATGAGCTCCAGCGTATTGTCGAAGAGCACGGCGCTGTAGAGAAGGCCGAGGTATCTATTGCCTGATTGTATTAATGATTTTGTAATTTTTTGTTACTTTAACATGGTGTAAGACTTCATTTGGTATAAGTTGTAGAAATTCATGATTTTGTAATTTTTTGTTAAGGTAGCATCGTTTAAGAGTTCATATTTTGAGCTACATTACATTTGGTAGTAGCAGTATAAATTGTAGAAATTAATGATTTTGCAATTGTTTGTTACGTTAACATGGTTTAAGAGTTCATTTTTTGAGCCGTAGCGCGCACGCACACATTATTAGTAGTTCTAGTGGTATAAGTTATAGAAATTCATGATTTGAAACAATTTATTGAATTTGTATGAGTTCGCTTTTTGAGATATAGCATGTTTTGGCTCACAAATTTGATGAATATATGTTAGTAGTAGTAGTACTTGTAGTATGAGTTGCAGAAATTCATTGCTTGGAACAATTTGTTGAATTAGTGAGTTGTTAGTAGGTGAAGAATGTGATAAAGCTCTTATGGAGACTTGAACCACGGTCTCTAGTTTGATATATGGTGTATAAGAGTAATTGCCATACATGAATTGTGTTCATTGGAGTATTTTTTCGCAGAAAATTTGATGATCATTTTTGGAATAGACCAGGTGAATAATGTGATTCATTTCTTGTGGGGCTTTATGTGAATCCATTTCATATGCTTTCTAATGTTGGCATTTGAAGGAATGATCATTATTTTTGTTAATTGTCTGTACTTCGAAAGCACAGTTATGTATTGCAAGAATTTTATATATTTACGTTGTGTAAACTCTCCCAAATTTCATAATAGGGGATCCAAAACAATAGATATGTTGGTTTTCCTTCTCTTCTTGTAAAGAGGTGTGGGGTGTGTGTTGGAATAGGTTTAAAAGGTTATGGCTTTCAGTAGACCAGTGCTAAAATAAAAATGCATTTTTCTAGTTAAATTTGAAAGTGGATCTTATATAAAGGGCAAACTAGAATTGCCAAGTAACTCAATAAATTCACTTCCAAACTCTTCAATTGTAAGTAAAAACTTGTCTAACAACTGCCTCTTGTATATACCAAATGCATAAGCAGAAGGGCAGTCCCTTTTTATTTTATTATTATTTTTCTTGGAAGTGGGTGAGGGGGCTGGTGGTTACTGAATTTTGACCAATATGTTAGTTTGATGCGGAGAATGGAGATATACCCTTTTGTAGGTGATGTATGATAAGTACTCTGGAAGGAGCCGCCGATTTGCATTTGTTACGATGAAGACAGTTGATGATGCTAATGTAGCTACAGAAAAACTGAATGGCACGGTAAGTCTTAATATTACATATTCCTGTTATGAGAGTTTCCCAAAGTTACAGTTAAAGTTCTTTGGTTACTACAAATTATTTTGTATAGAATTGATTGTTTTAGCTGTTCTCCATAACAGGAAATTGGCGGACGGGCGATCAAAGTAAATATAACTGAGAAGCCTTTGGCAACTATGGATTTGCCACTTCAGGCAGAGGATTCCCAATTCATTGACAGCCCACACAAAGTTTATGTAGGTAATCTTGCAAAGACAGTAACCTCAGACACGCTCCAAAAGTTTTTCGCGGACAAGGGAAAGGTTCTTAGCGCAAAGGTGTCTAGGATTCCTGGGACCTCAAAATCAAGTGGGTTTGGGTTTGTTTCATTCTCTTCAGAAGAGGATGTTGAAGAAGCCATCTCATCTCTTAACAATACTGTGAGTTGTCTGATGCCCTTGTTATTTCAGATGAAACCGTGGTTTTTCTTTCTTTTCTTATTATTACTATTTACTCTTTGATAGATAAAAAAAACTTGTTATGTAATAACACACAAATATGTACGTGCACAAATATGCTTACCAATAAATAAATAAATAATTAGAACACACAATTATATACATGCACTAATACTAAGCGATGATGTCCATGAAATTTTTGGAAAACGTTTTACCTATAATATTATTAGTTGATTTATCTAAGAATTACTAGTTAGAAGAACTTTCAAGCCTATCTTGAATTTCACTACAGCAGCATATTCTCAGTATGTATTTCCTTTGTTCCTTAGTGTGGTCATATGTTAAGTTGGTTTTTTTTTATAATTCTTTTGGTTAGTGCATGTGTCGAACACCAGTGCCATGGTTCACCAATGATATCCTTATTTTTTACACACAATTTTTTACATTTCTCTGTATTTGCCACAATAACAACATTTTCTGTGATGTACGCTTCCCTCATCACTCTTGAATTTTTTTAATGGCTGAGCCATCTCTTTATATATTGATCTTATAATGTGTACCTATTTTATGGTTATTTGAAAATTGCAACCGTCTCAAACATCTTCATGCTGCAGGTGTTTGAAGGGCAGAAAATTCGTGTGAACAAAGCATAGCATTGTTTGAAGACAGATTTGCATTGTATGTAACTGTTGTATTGAGGATTAGGACGTCATTTCTGAAGAAGCATCAAGAGAAAAAAGGGGAAAAAACAATTCCAAATGCTTACAGAACAGCTGAATGTTCATATTTATATTTTGTAATGAGCTTTATTTTGCTATGCGGGGCGGGGAAGTTTATATATGACTACAATACTAGAGTTATTTGATGAGGTCTCTGATGTAGTTGTGATCTCATGGTTTATGTAGTCATAAGGGTTCGTAATTGTTTGATTGTTATTTTAAAGCTTTTAGATTCACTGAAGCTTAGAAAGCCTTAATCAAGTTTCTTGCATGTGAGTTGAAATGAACTCAAGCTTAGTCAACAGTTGGACCATATTTGCTTTGATCTAACTTGAAATTGTGTGAGAGTACAGGGTTTCACTCGCTAGCCCGGATTCTCGATAGTGTAGCGCAGGTGCTATACTGCATTGGATGGCTCACAGCAGTACAACACGCGTGTGATTGCAACATGTGTGCATCGTGAGTCGTCTGATGCAGTAGTACAACACCCTTAGTTGACAAGCAACTAAGAAGCTTGTTCATTGTGAATGCTATAGCATCATACATCTATCTTAGATGTTGGTGGTGTTGATGTTTTGTAAATGATTTATCACTTATATAAGGAAATCAGGAAGCTGTTTGGTCGTGTTTGGGTTGGTGCTGGCTTTATCTGTATAGTTTATTTCTTAAGGTGTTGTCTTTTGGTTTATTGCTTAATTTCTTAAGTAGTTTATTATTCTTTCTTTTTCGTAAAAATGAATTACTTTTATTTGCAAATAGGATTTTGATATTGTTGATCATAACTGAGATCAATTTGAGGATATAATCAAGGAATTAATATGGGACTATATGATATATCTATTGTTTAATTTATACTGCAGTTTCACAAATATTTTGATTTATTTCCTTTTCAGCCATTGAAATTAATTAATGATCGCCATGATGAGGAAATGGTATTAAAAACAATGCACGAAAATAAGTCCAAATATAAAAATTACTCCATAAGGTATCCATAATATATATATATAAGGCAAGCCAACTCATCGACTGACAAAGATTCCAAAATTATTTATTCTTCGATAACAAAATTAGGAGTGTAATAAGTTGGAAAGTTTCTTGTAAAGACAAGAAGTCTCCAAAAAAAAAAAAAAAAAAAAAATATGGGTCAAGCAACAAAATGTCCATGTGTGATAAAATTAAAAATTGAATACAATAATTGATACCACATTTGTACAATTGAAAATTTTATTCCAAAAAATAGAATTCTTCTTTTTATCAAACACATCTTCAATTCTCGCATATTCCACATTACTATGATTTTATGTATGAACAATTCCTCAATTTTTTTTTTTTTTTTTTTTTTTTTCACCAACAATTCCGCAATTCACTTGATACATTTAGCATTCCAGTTAGAAATTATTTCCTCCAAATTAAAATTAGACAATTTAAAAATAATCAGTGCAGTTTTTGACCAACAATAAAAAATCAATGCAAAATGACTGTTATGCCCTATTTCATTTAAAGTAAAAAAATTAACAAAAAATAAAACAATGTGAAAAGACTCGTTACTCCCACAATAAAAATAACATACATTATGAGTCGGTCAACAAAGCTTTCAAAGAAAGCTTTTATTACAATAAATATCAATACCCAAAGCTTCCTTTAGAAGAAGCTTAATAAAGGCTTCCTTTGGAAGCCAAACAAAAAAATCTCACACTTTTCTGATGGCAGTTACCGTAAATTTCGAAAACTTTCGGGGCTTTTAGAAGTAATCATCCCCATTTCAGACGATGACACGAATCAGTACACCCATTCGCGCCCATTCTCGTTTCCCGCGCCACCTCAGACTTGAATTACCCAAATTCCTAACCCTAGAACCCGTACCGTGAACCAGTGTCCGTTAAATCCAGAGAAAACACCATCTTTCTCTCTCTCTCTATTCATATTTGTATTTCTGGAGAACCAGAGAAGGAAGAGAAGATGTTTTACTCGCACACGTTTTTGGCTCGAAAGGGGCCATTGGGGACGGTATGGTCCGCGGCACATTTACAGAACCGACTCAAGAAGTCTCACTACACTTCCACCGATATCTCCTCTACTGTTGGTTTGTTTCTTTAAATCCACATATATATATATATATATATATATACACACACACTCTACTTTGGTGGGTTTGTTTTTATACATGGAAATGGTTACGATTTGCATATGAATTGAACTAATATTTGTTTTAATTAAAATGTTACAGTTTATTAAATTTCATAAAGAAAACATATTGAGTAATTGGTGTTGAATTGGGTGAACTGGCGATATTTGCCCCCGTTAAGGTTTGGTCTCTCGTGAATTTGGAACAGGTTTGATTTGGGGGATGATGTTCTTGATAAAGGGCGGTCCTTTTTTATTTTCTTGATGCATTCTTTTGATCGTTTGAATATTCTTGATAAAGGGTTCAATTGTTTGGTGCATAATATGTTAGTCTTTTTAGAATTGGAAAGTATATAGCCACTTCTATTGATGAATCTAGGATGAAAAGTCAGTCAATATCTATCAATTTCCTTCCTGAGTTCAGTTGGGTGTGCATGCAATAGAGAATGGATTTGTTACATGTGAAATAATATCAATCATGAGAGGAGGATTTGAACAAAAATCTTTGTCATCATTCAAATCTCTAGACTTGGGTTAGGATTGCAGTTAATGAGAGAGAGTGTGTCATCATCACTTGTTGATATTCATTATGGGCCACTGGTAGCTTTTAGGTTACTTCCAATGTTTAGAATAGTCCATATAGCATAGGCTAGCCATACAATTTAATATCTTGGATAATATCATTTGTATGTAATTATGTATGTATAATATTTAAGTACAGTCAGGTTTTTGATATGCTGATTGATCAGAAGTTATCGGGTGGGATGCATTAAATAGAACTCCTTACTTTTATATAATTGGTAGAGTTTTAGGATGGAGAAGGGATTTTTTTTTTCCCCCCCCTCTTCTATATTCATCAGTCGGTGATAAATATTTCATGCATGACCTGTTTCTTTCTATTAACCTCTGCACTAAATATTATGCATTAAGAAGCACGTGACGCTGTTGTTTCATCACTCAGTTAAGTTACTATTTGCCTTACTCAATTGTCAATGCGTTTATTATGCTAAAATCATATGTTAGAAAGTATGCGAAATTATCTTTTCTTTCATCTTCTTTTTCAAATATATAAAGAAAAAGATGCAAAATTTATTTTTTTACATAATTTGTTTGATGACTTGTTTATTTTTCAAATGTCTCTTCTAGCCCTCATCATGTTTCCAGAAGTCCCAATGGCACTGAGAATGTCAAGCCATCTTCTGCTGGGTGTTGTCCGGATATATTCAAAGAAAGTTGACTATCTATACAAAGATTGCAATAATGTTCTAATAGGGATAAAAAATGCTTTTGCTTCTGTGGACCTTAATCTACCAGAAGATGCGAAGCATGCGCCATTTCACTCTGTCACTTTGCCAGGCACATTTGAACTCGATGCCTTGAATTTGGATGATGACTTTTATTGCCAAGGGTAATATTTGGCGACCTATTCCTCTCTATTTTTCTTTTTCTTTTTTACATTATCCTCTCTGAAATATAAATAATGCATTGATTATGATTTCCAGGATTCAGGATAATCATCTTAGGAGCCAGGAGGAGATAACACTTGAAGGTAGTAATATTATATGTGCTTTCTTGAATTCAGAAGATATAATCTCGTCTTTTAGTTGTAATTGTTTACTTAAATAGTAATGTTTGAACTTTGGATTTTTTTTTTCCTAGTTAACTTTGGAATTTATCATAATGCAGATCAAATTCCAGCTGGAAGAGATCCTTACATTACCATTACTTTTGATGAGGTAAACACCATTACTTCATCTTGTGTTTATTTGAGGATGTGAGGCGTCTAAGTTGCTTTATTTGCGTTTAGGATATTGTCAGGAATTCTTCATGTTTGGAAGATGCCTCTGGACCAGGAGACAGGACAATGGAAGAAAGGTATGACTTGGATAAATTATGAAACTGAAAGCTCCATTTCTATTCCAGTCTTTTGAAGAAGTGACAAATTCTGTTAATTTATTATTACAGTGCCCATTTGCTTCCGATGGACACAACTCTTGGTTCTTTGGATCCCGGTCCAAGTAATCAGACAGGAGCTGATGAGAGGCTTGATAAAGATAGCTCTAATCAAAATTTTCCAGAGTTTGAAGTTCTTCGTGACTCCATCCATGATTTTCACTCAGAAAACATTCTAGTGTGGCCAGATCGAGAGGATGACGTAATTGAACCCGACATGACATTAGAACAGCAGATCATGGAGAAGGAGGTTCTTACTCCAGTCATGGAAGAAATGTTAGTTTCTGGTGGGCAGTCTCTTCCATCTCAACAACATCAAGAACCACCTACTTCTGTTGCTTCAGAGCAGGCTCCTGAGATTTTTGATTCACAGTTTCAATTTGGTGGGTGAAAACGTCCTATTATTGGATGAATGCTTGTGATATTGGGGTCAACCAAAACCCAAAGTTGTTTTATCTTTTTATTTAGTTGCTTTCTTATGTTGCAGGACATGCATCACCTGAATTGGGAATGCGATCAACTCCACCTGTTCAGCAGCCAGAAGCAAGACCAAGAAAGAGGAAGAGGCTATATGATGAGTCCACAGTATTGACTAATAAGTATGATATGGTGATATGATTCATGTGGATTTTGTATTACTTCTGGTATTGTCTTTGATACTAGGATATGAATGTTTTAGGTTTATGAAGAAGGCCCTTGAAGATCCTAGTGATCTATTGCGGAAGAGGAAGAATTGTCCTTACTCTGCTTTGGACATTTGGAAGTCAAATAATAGATTAAAAAGGGAAAAAGTATTTGTTGAGCCTTTAACGACTGGTGAGGGGTTTCTCTGTTTTTACTTCGGCTCTTGATACTTGCTTCTCAGTCTTAGGAATATATTTCATGAACAAGGTTGCCTTAACATCTGCAGGTTTGTTAGGAGAACTGTGTAATATTTTCAAGAAGGACTTTATTTCTGCAAAACCTCATTTAGTTTTGTTAGAGGAAGTTCGTCCAGAGTCTAGTGTTCCACCTTCTCCTGCTCATGACATTGATTTGGGAATTGAACATCTTCGAGATTATGAAGGCCCTGCTTGCAGCAATATATTACCTGAACTTGGGCCTTCTCCAAATAGATTCACGCCTTCTCCATCTAGAGGAGATGACTTTACTCCCGCCTCTCCTAACAATTTAGGCTCGCAGTCGGAACCTCAACTGGGAACCACTATTGGGACTGGAATGTTAAACACACCAGACCTGGCAGCATCTACTGGACCTATTGGGTCTGAGATGGAAACACCAATGACGTTTTCAGAGCGATTAGATGTAGAGAATTCTGTTCTTTCAGATATTCCTGAGGTGTTGAATTCTGCAGAATCAGAAGTAAGTTTATTATGTTTGCATTGACATGTGCTCTGGGTAATTTTTTGCTGTTGAAGGTATATGTGTTTGTCATTAATGATCAGTAATGCTTTTCTTTCATCAATTTATGGCCTTTATGTTAGCAACATGTTCATTTCCCTTTTGGCAATATGAAAAAGAAAAAAAAAAAAATCAGCAAGACTAAGTTTGTGCCTCAAAATTGGGTACATACATACACAGTGGCGGAGCCACATTAGGTTAATTGTCCCCACTGAAATTTTATCTTATTTGTATGTTTTATACTCAAATTTTGGTATTTATAAATATAAACATTTCCCCACTGAACTCTTTAAAAATTCAAAAAAGACCTTAAGAGAAACTTCTAAAATTCAAAATGACCTCTTATTTTCTAAATGATTTGCCAACAAAATTTTCAAAATTCAGAATTCAAAAAGAAAAGAAAGAAAGAAATTCATTTCTCTTCCAGCAGGCCCACAAAATGTTTAAGAATCAAAATTCAGAAAAGACCCCTCCTGTGTTATTTATTATTTTGGTTCAAATTTATATTTTTTTATTATTATTATTTATATATTTTTTTATTATTATTTTTATCATATTATTGTAATGGCTGCCCCCTCAACTAAATTCCTGGTTCCGCCACTAAGTATACATCATGTGCACGTCGTGTCTGTGGTTTAGGTGTTATGCATAATAATGATTAATATACTTTCAAGTTTAAAATTTGATGAACAATATTATTTCTTCTTACGATAGATTTTATATTATGAAGATAGATACATACTTATGCTACTCCTTTATAATTTGATAATGTATAAATCCATCTATACTATATTGCATCAAGGCTTGGGCTGAATGCATTAGCAATTTAGCAGGTCCCAAATCCCAATGCATTATCTAAATTCTCACGTTTCAAGGATTGATTAATTCAAACACTCATTGAGGTTGCATTTGACTTACTAACCCATTTCATTGCAGGACCTAAACTTTTTGGTTGAAGACAACAACAATACACCAACTGGTAACCTGCGAAACTTTTTCTAATTTCTGATTAGCAATTTATATGATTTTTCTTTCTTTTTTTTTTTCTTTTTTTTTTTTTTTTTTTTTTTTTTGTTTTCCCAAAATATAGATAATTATGTTTCTTGGTTACTTGCATGACATGGAAATGTCATCAAATAGACATTTTTGTAAATTTACAAATTAAAATGTATATATTAATATATAAAATATCTTTTGATAACATATAGATGCTTTAGCAGGATTGGAAGTAACTCCAGGAGTTGACCAATTGCCTGTGAGAACAAGGTAGCTTCTTGAAAAATGTCTTCTTTGTTATCAATGGAACTTGCTATGTTAAGTGGTCTGTATGTTTATTTACTTATATATATTTATTTTATTCTGACTGCTATGCAGGGCTACTGCTCAATATATCAAAAGGAAGTCTTTAGTTACCCCTATCACAGAAGACTTGTCTGGAAATCTTATCTTGAACAAGATCTTAGAAGGAAAAAACCGAAAAATATGTGCTCGAATGTTTTCTGAAATCCTGGTAAGCCTCTGAAACCTTTCTATTCAAACTGCATGGTCCAAATATTTTCTTCCCTGTTTGCATTGAGGAAAAAGGAAAGGGTTCAATTTTTGGGTTAGCAATTAGCATGTGTCATTGTGTATATACTTTTTGTATCCAAATACTAAAAACTATTTGCATGATTTGAGATTAATAGGATGTAAACAATCAGTTTACTTCCTGCATCTCAAAGAATGTGCTGCATTCCTGGGAGTTGTATTCTGTTATCGCGATTGTTCATTATATTGTAATTAATTTATGGTGGGGTCTACTGCCACGCGTTTGGTCACTAAACCTAGAAACCTTTCAGTGTGCTTGATAAATGAGGTTGTAGTAAAGTACTAGATAACCACTATGATGTAAGTTTACATTGTTAATCTCTTGTCAGAGTATCCTGCTCGGCTCATGAGTGTAATAACGTTTATGTTACATGATTCACTCGGTTAATCTTTGGATGTTGGTTACTGGTATCAGATCAAGTTTTATGTTGAAAAATGTGTTGGGTACATCTGTATCTCTTTTATCTCTTACTCAAGAGAATGAGAAGACGCAATTTGAACAAGTCTTCAAATCCTCGTGGAATTTGACCGAATAGCTCCCACAAGCGATAGGATAGTAATGTATGTCCTGGTATAGGATTTTGAAAAATTCTAGTGACACGAAGATTGCTACTATTCAAGCTGTGAAGCACCATATTTCTCTCTGACATGACCCTTATCAGTTTGTTAGCATCAGGCTTTTAGTCTGAATGGACTTTTCGAGTCGTACACCATAGTAAACTATCACAAGCATTTTAAAATTAATTTTGCTAGTTGCAAAAGTTAACTCAATGGGTGATATCTGGCTTTTTAATGATATCTGATTATTATATGGTCCATTGTAGGTTTTGAAGGTTTATGAACTTCTAGATGTACAGCAAGAAGAACCTTATGGTGATATTACTTTGAAGGTGACCCTGAAACTTTCAAAGGACCAGTCTTTAAGTTAAATGCGCCTGGAAGGTCTTCATGTATATAGAGGTAAGTAGTAATTTGAGTACAATATATATATACTGTCACCCATATAGGGTCTCGTTTTTTATAGCTGATTTTGACCTATTCCCATTGGTCGTCGCTGGTAATCTAATTATTTGACTTTGATCTTTTCTTATTTTCTTAATAATATTCACTAATGCCGTAAAAGCTCTCTCTCCACGTATTTTTTGCTTGTATGCATTTCTGTTTGGAAGTCTGCGTGTGACATGCACATAAAATTCACAAACTTTGGTTACTGATTATATTTTTCTGACTTATGAAATGCAGTGGGGTTTGTACAGCTTCAGCAACACAAATTATATATAGACTTAGGACCTGTAGCGTTTATTTATTTTCAGGAGATGCTAAATTATAATCAACAGTTGCTCGATCTGGTCCATCCTTTTTCTGTACCATACTACTGCAATCTTTTCTGCTGTTGTGGAGCTGGTCGGGGGTCTTGAAGGATAGCAAGATTTTTGTTTTTTTTTTGTTTTTGCCCCTGTAAGATATTCACTCAGCTATCTTTTTGTTTTTATTTAATTGGTGTAATGGAGCAGTTATTTAATGTGAAATTTACTTTTGGTCATGCTTTTGCAGTGCTTTATAACACTATACTTCAATTTTCACCAATGCATCTTGAGCCTTGAACCCTTTGTGCAATTTTTGAAGTTTATATGGACTCTGATTAACAGAGAAGAGTAAAGCCAAGTGAGTTGGCAATCCTCTTTGATCAATCAAAACAAATTTAGAACAAAACAGATCCCATGTTCCTTTGACACACAAATTCACAAGCACAAAAAGGCACTTGAGAACAGGTGAACGTCTGCTAACATTCAAAACTGCGTGTAATCTAATTAATTCTGAAGCAAAATATTCGTCATTTTCGCGCTTCCGCTCTGCTCCCATTTTCACTATTCGTGTTGTCGCTTTAGCGCCCTTGTTATATGTGACTTTGTTCATGTACTACCCCATTGGAACAATGAGGAATCAAGAATCCTATTTTGAAAAGGCAAATGCCTTCCTGCAAATGTGATACAAAATTTCAGAATTACTACTATACCAGTGGAATAAGTAATTTCTTTTCACTCTCATATTATCCAAAATAACGACCATAGTGGAACTAAGGCAATCAAACCACCTGTTGCTTCAATACCCGTTAAGTCTCCTACAGGACAGGGGCAACAAGGGCAAGTAAAGGAACAAGGCAATCAAACATCACCCCCGTTGTTTTGAAAAAACAAAACAAAACTGTTATATATAGAACATTCAAAAAAAAAAAAATTAGTGTAAAAAAATTCTAAATTTTTTAAATTGAGCAAATAAGGACATTTTCAAATTATAGAAAAATATTAGTGTGTTAATTTAAGAAAGAAATTTTAATTTTTTTAAAGGAATTTAAAGAAAAAATAACTAAAAATTAATAAATAATTTTAGAAACTAATAATGTTATTAACTTACAATTTTCATATATTTATGCATATATATATATGTTACCATAGCCTATTAATTTTGATATCTATCATAAGTAAAAAGTAATTTTCTCCTTTTAGCAATATTTTTGTTGCACATTATAACATTTAACTCGCAAATTCTGAGATGATTTAATCATTTGGAAGAGAATATCGAAATACATTTTGACCACAAGAGTTTGTCATACTTTTTTTATATGCCATTTATTTTTACCATTTTTGATCAAATTGTATTGTCACTTTTTACTAGCTTGTATAAATTTATTTTTCAAAAAATTTAAGAAATAATGTTTTTTTATTTTTTTTTATTTTTATGACATAACTGTTTAAATATGGTCTAGCTTTAAAAAAAATAAAAAATAAAAACACAGAAAAATTCATTACAGCTGTTACGAGGTGAATCCCATGATATGAATACTCCTCCGTAAATAATAGGAAAGTGTACCACGATTACTATTCTCTCGGGGTTTCTTGTGATTGAAGAAACATTAAATCCCAAATTCTCAATTAATAATAAAAAATTCCCTCAAAACTGTGCATCTTCCTCCGTGGTTTATAATTTCCCTCCAATACACACACACACCACACACACACACACACGCACACAGCTTTTATAAAGTTTTCCATATATAGTATCTGCACCATTTCTTTCTCAATCTCTGCCCTAAAATTTTCTCTCTCTTCAATGCTTCCCTTATTTTATCCACCTTCCTTCTCTGTAAAACCCCTCTAAACAAACACTACCAATCCTGAGCCTTCTCACCGCTTCTTCGACATTCAGCGAACACACCAAGCCTAGCTTCTCACGCCACTGTTGATCGAAGATTGGTTACTCAACTTGCTCTTCCACAGTCACGAACGGAGAGTCTCAGACACGTACGGTCAATTGCGAACACATCAAGCCTTCTCAAATTCAACAGGTTCGAAATCGTCAATCCTTACCCCGGCCTCTAACCTTCTAAGTCTTCACTTCTCAGATTGTTTTTTTGTTTTTTGCAATAATTTATGTTTGGCGTTTTCAATTGAAATTTCAGAAGCAGTATTATATTGTTGTGTTGTGATTTGTTTCGAATCATAAACTTTTCCTCTCTGTTCCGGATGTCCATCCAATCTCTGATTCCAGTCCATAACTTCCTTGGATATAGCTCCTCTTGCCCTTCTATGACTAGGATGTCACTTAGATGGCCATCTTTTCTTAAGCCCTCAGGGTGTGTTAGAGTAGGGAGGAAGGCCTGTAAAATCATTCTCGATTATAAGACCTAATCCGGCTTTCCGTGCAAGGGTCCATAGGTGAGTCCGAGACTACTTGGTGATGATGATTTTGAGGAATTTGTTCAATTTTGAGGATTTCTGTTCTTTTCTGTGTTTATATCTCAATTTTTTTTTTTTTTTTGTGGTTTGGCTTTGTTCTTCCTATATTTTACAAATAATATTGTTTAAAAAAGTATTTTGAATTTTTTTTTTATTTTTTATTTTTATTTTTTACAAATTGGTAGAATCTTACCATTTATTATTGGATTATACGATTCCAAGTAGAATCCCGATTTTAAAAGCCTTGCTATGTTACTATGTAATTTTTGAAATTTTTCAAAAACAAATTCGTAATGTAAATGCACTTCCATTGAAAATATACTTTTACTAAAATATATCCTTCCTTATAAACTTTTAAAATTATAATGTTTTCTTAAGAAACATTTTTAAAATTCAAATCTCCTTGGAATATATAAGTTTCCATAGTAATAATTTTCCCTTTATTAAAAATTTATTTTCCTTTAGAAACATTTCCTTAATTCTATGTCTCCCTAGAAACATTTTACTTATTTTATCTTCTCTTATAAAATAAATTATATTTGGCCATAGCCACTCGTCGTATTGAGCCTCTTTTTTGACCCATAAGTGTTTAATATAACTCCTAGAGAGGGTAGAAAATGGGACTTAACTTACAATTTTCATATATTTATGCATAATTTTTATTTTTATTTTACCATATATACTTAATGGGCCTATTAATTTTGATGTCTACCATAAATAAAAAGTAATTTTCTCCTTTTAGCAATATTTTTGTTACACTTCTAATTTCTTGGAGAGTGCTAAGACCTCCAAAGTTTAAGGATCCAGGTGTCCGACAATCACATGTGTATTGGAGACAGCAAGATAGAAAAGGACCTCCTTGACTACGAGGTTGTCCGGACCTCCTTGACTGAGGTTGTCCTTTGTAAATTATTGCTTGATTGATGTATAAATCGCGTGATTTAATTACTAATTTCATTCAATTTAGCCCTTCATACCAAAAACCAAATATTGTAGCATAACAATATTACCTCATTAATGAGAGTGATGTGAAGAGAAAAACTATGAAGAGGTACATTGTCCGCTGGACCGCCTTATTATAACATTCAACTCACAAATTCTGAGATGATTTAATTATTTGAAAGAGGGTATCGAAATACATTTTGACCACAAGAGTTTGTCATACTTTTATATGCCATTTATATCAAATTGTATTGTCACTTTTTACTAGCTTGTATAAATTTATTTTTCAAAAAAATTTAAAAATAATGTTTTTTTTTATGACATAACTGTTTAAATACATATGGTCTGTATGTGCTTTTAAAAAAATTAAAATACAGAAAAATTCATTATAGCTGTTATGAGGTGAATCCCATGATATGAATACTCCTCGGTAAATCATAGGAAAAGTGTATTACGATTAGTATTCTCTCGGGGGTTTCTTGTGATTAAAGAAACATTAATCCCAAATTCTCAATTAATAATAAACTACTCCCTCAAAACTGTGTATCTTCCTCTGTGGTTTCTAATTTCCCTCCAATACACAGACAACACACACAGCTGTTATAAAGTTTTCAATATATAGTATCTGCACCATCTCTCTCAATTTCTGCCTAAAATTTTCTCTCTTCAATGCTTCCCTTATTTTATCCACTTTTTTTGTTCGTAAAACCCTCTAAACAAACACTACCAAACCTCCATGCACACACACAACTCATATGATTTCTACAAATCTCTCTCTATTTGAAGGTATATATATATCACCCAATTTGTTTGCATCTTGAAATCTGACATTTTTTATTGTAGGTCTTGTTCACAGTTGTTATATATATGCACACACATATATAAATCGCATATGTGTGTGTCTGTGTGTGTATATATATATATATATATAGAATGTGTATATGGTTAATTTATGTATTTTCGGGGTTACTTTGATTGTATCTAACGATTTTCTTTTGGATGATTTCAGTTTCTCGGCGAACAATCGGAATGACCGAGGTTTGAAGCCTAAGATAAGGCTGTCATTCCCGAATTTCTCGACATCTCCAGTTCATCACGAACATTAATACACAACGTTTGGTTAGTCTCTTGTTTGGCTGTATGTTGTTTCGTTACCGAATCTTCAGGAAAACCTCGTCATCATGTCTCTACTATGTAGTTGTAACGGCTCTATGTAATTTTTTAAAATTTTCAAAAACAAATTCAGTTTAAATCTACAAGGGTCTGTTTAGTTAGCTATAAGTAGCAAGAAAGGAAAAGAAAAAGAAAAAATTCAAAATTTTTGGGTGTTTGGTTAGAGTGAAAAAGAAAATTTTTTAAAAACTAGAATTACCGCAAGTGATTATTTTCTCCAAAATATTTCTCATATAAATGACATGAAAATTTACTTCCCAGAAAAAAAAAATTATTTAATGTATTTTTTTCATATGATGATTGAGAGTAATATATACATATATTTATATATATATATATAAAGTATTTGTTGAGTGCATTACTAAGCAGAGGGTTGGGTGAAAATTAGGATTAGGGTTGATGTTGGGGCTTTCGGGTTTTTGTATTTGATTGGAATTCGTATATAAGAGTTAAACGAAAAATGTTTGGTGAAGTCCATGGCTATTTTATTTATACGTGCACCGTGTGTTTAGGAACTCCATGTTTGGTGGCCAACCACCTTTCTTTAGTGGTTGTGTTTAATGGGACTCTTTTAGATTAATGTTTGCGAAGATTGGGTGTTTGGTTATTTATGACTTGTGCCTCACTAAAACATTATAACTTTCACTTACTTATCTGAAAATAAATAAATAAATAAAATAAAAACATAATTTTTTTATTTTATTTTTAATAGTCCATTGTTTTAATTTTTGTTTACTAAAAATTATAAACAATTGAGTATGAAAGAGTTTCATCTAATAAATTCATTTATTTTTTTAATATTTAAAATTATAAGGATAGTTTTGGTAAATATAATTATTTTCTTTTTCTTTCGTGCTATCCAAAACAAGCAAAGCTATATTTTCTCATGATTTTCTCCACAGTTTTCTTTTCTTTTATTTTAGGGAAAATTACATATAAATGGAGTTAAAGTTCCATATTTAGTTAGAGAGTCAAAGTTCCATATTTCTCTAAAATGGATTACTGAGGTGGCACATGGTTTTTTACTGTTGTGGTGCCTAAAATGTTCTTCGGAGAAAAAGTAGTACCTTCGCGAGTGTTTAAAAAACATGGTACCTGGATACGAAAAAGTAGTACCGTCAGTTCAAAAAAGTAATACCTTCAAAGAAAAAGTGGTACCTTCGCGGAAGGGTATTTTAGGCACCACAATTTTTAAACAGTAAAAAATCATGTGCCCCCTCAGCAATCCATTTTAGAGAAATATGAAACTTTGACTTATCCTCTAAGTAAATATGAAATTTTGACTCCATTTATATGTAATTTTCCCTTTATTTTACTTTCTTTCACTCCTGTTGAGAGTTACAGAAATATTAGCATATACAACGTCGGAGTGCAAGTCCTAAAGTTTGACTCTCACTTCTTTCAGGTCAGACACAATGCCAAACCGTAATGAGGATTTCTCTCTCAAAGAGACCTCGCCGAACATCGCCAGTGGAAGATTCTCCAGGGATAGGGTCACGACGGCCTTTGACCTCGTCGAGCAGATGCAGTACCTCTATGTAAGAGTGGTCAAGGCTAGGGAATTGCCTCCCATGGATGGTGGTTCTGGTTGTTGTGACCCTTATGTTGAAGTCAAGCTTGGGAACTATAGGGGTATGACCAAACAGATTGAGAATTTGTTGAACCCTCAATGGAACCAAGTGTTTGCTTTTTCGAAAGACCGAATTCAGACCTCGGTTCTTGAGGTTAATGCGTGGGATAGGGCTGCATTTGTTGGGAGAGTGCTGTTTGAACTCATTGAGGTTCCGAAAAGGGTTCCTCCGGATAGCCCCTTGGCGCCCGAATGGCAAAGATTGGAGAATGTAAGGGGGGAGAAGGTTAGAGGGGAGTTGATGCTATCTGTTTGGATGGGGACACAAGCTGATGAAGCATTCCCTGAAGCTTGGCATTTGGATGCTACAACGGTTTCCGGCGATGGCATTGCGAATATTCGATCAAAGGTCTATCTCTCACCCAAGCTTTGGTATCTTAGAGTTAATGTGATTGAGGTTCAGGATTTGCAGCCTACCGATAGGAATAGGTCCCCTGAAGTTTTTGTTAAGGTTGTGTTTGGGAATATGGGTTTGAGGACTAAGAATTGTCAAAATAAGAATGTGAATCCAATGTGGAATGAGGATTTGATGTTTGTAGCTGCAGAGCCTTTTGAACAAGTGCTGGTTGTGAGTGTGGAGAATAAAGTGGCCCCCAATAAGGATGAAGTTCTCGGGAGGTGTGTTATTCCGGTACAGACTGTGGAGAAGAGGTTTGATTACAAGCCTGTGAATAGTAGGTGGCACAATCTTGAGCATCATGTGGTAGGAGAGAATGGAGAGAGGAGGGAGATAAAGTTAGCTAGTAAACTTCATTTGAGGGTGTGTCTTGATGGTGGGTACCATGTTTTCGATGAATCGACTCACCACAGTAGTGATTTTAGGGCATCGATGAAGCGATTGTGGAGGCCGAGCATTGGGGTACTCGAATTGGGGATTTTGAGTGCTCAAGGGTTGTTGCCAATGAAGATGAAGGATGGCAGGCCAGCTACAGATGCTTATTGTGTGGCGAAATATGGTCCGAAATGGATTCGAACAAGGACAATCATAGATAGTTTTAATCCCAAATGGAATGAGCAATATACTTGGGAGGTTTTTGATCCCTGCACTGTCATTACTATTGGTGTGTTTGATAACTGTCATTTACAAGGGGTAGATATTATGGGCAATGGAGCAAAAGATGCTCGAATTGGGAAGGTGAGAATTCGGCTTTCTACACTTGAAACTGATCGGGTTTATACACATTCGTATCCACTGATAGTCTTGCATCCTTCTGGTGTGAAGAAAATCGGAGAAATTCAACTGGCTGTGAGGTTTTGTTGTGCATCTTTGCTCAATATGCTCCACATGTATTCACAGCCTATATGGCCAAAAATGCACTATCTTCACCCACTATCTATTCGTCAGATTAACGATTTAAGATACCAGGCTACACAGATTGTCTCTGTGAGACTCAGCCGTGCAGAGCCACCATTGAGGAAAGAAGCTGTCGAGTTTATGCTTGATGTGGGGTCACATTTGTGGAGCGTGCGACGAAGCAAAGCTAACGTTTACCGAATTTCAGGGGTTCTGTCTGGCTTGACTGCAGTCTGCAGATGGTTTGATTACATTTGCTCTTGGAAGAACCCTTTTACAACAGTACTTGTTCACATTATGTTCTTGATATTGGTTATTTACCCACAGCTGATTTTAAGCACCGTCTTTCTCTACCTCTTACTCATTGGGATTTGGAACTACCGGTGGAGGCCAAGACATCCTCCTCACATGGACACAAAACTGTCTTATGCTGAGGCAGCGCTTGCTGATGAATTGGATGAGGAATTCGACACTTTTCCAACTAGTCGGCAAGCTACTGTCATAAGAATGAGGTATGACCGGTTGAGAAATATTGCCTCCCAGATTCAAACTGTGCTTGGTGACTTGGCAACTCAATGTGAGAAATTCCACAGTCTGATAAGTTGGCGAGATCCCAGAGCCACAATGCTGTTTTTGACCTTCTGTTTGGTTGCTGCTGTCGTGCTTTTTGTCATTCCGTTCCAAGTTCTCATTCTTCTCGCGGGCTTTTATGTGCTAAGGCATCCAAGATTCCGCTATAAGCTTCCTTCAGTGCCCATAAACTTCTTCAGGAGGTTGCCTGCAAGAACAGACAGCTTACTGTGAGAACTCCATGTTTCGTTGAACTAGATGCAACATTATGAAGCCTGTTCGAATTTTTGGCGCTAGACGTCGAGCATTGGTATCAACTTTGACTTTCCTCTCAAACTGTGAAAATTGCAACTGTCTAATTTTAATCTATCTTTTTTAGTTTGTCTGAATTTTCAAATTGTATACAGGCTGTTTGATTGAAATGATAGACATTTAAACAGTCAAACCATAGATAATAGAGTATAGATTAGTTCTGAAGGTTTTGACTTATTGTTGATTGTTTCAGTGGTTGTATATTAATTTCTTTCAAATTGTATAGTTCTATGAATTCTACTTTGTGAATTCAGAAATATGGAATGGTTTGATAAATGGATTCAATGATCATATTCAAAAACTAGAGGATGGGAGCAGTTATATTCAACTGATATGGATTTTACTGAATAAACGGGCGGTGGTGGATTACGAAGAAAGTTGTTCTTACCTGTTTTTAATGTCCCTCTTTGGGTAATTGATAGCTGCAGTTGATGCTTTTGGTTTTTCATGCTTAGTTCTGTTCCATTTATCTTTGTTGATTTGCATTTGTAACGTTTGTTCCCTTTGTAATTTTAGGACAAGAAAACAAGAATGGTTAGAGGCCATTGAAGACCACACTGAAAAAGGCTATTGATCTTGGGCATACTATGCTTAGAATTTCCCGCGTTTTGGGTGCTCATGGTTGTTTGGATGGTAATGTGTTCATTTTGGTTCCCAAAATGTCTGGGTGTTGTGGATTTTCATGGTATTCATTACAATCTAGGAAGTTTGAGCATGGCTGTAAGAATTTAGCTGATGCATTCACTAATTAAGACTGCGTTTTTGAAAGAGACAATTGAGATACTTGAACAGGACCATTAGTCAGATGTTGAAGGTTTTAGTCACAGTTGTTGAAAGTTTAGACCCCCGTAGAATCAAAACTATTTGCCAACCATCGCCATAATCTTTGGAGCTGAGTCAGAAAAGGATTATATGAATGTGGAGTCTTAGACTATATATATTGGTGTCGTTACAAGAAGCCATGGAATGTGTCAGCTGCAATCTGTATGATAGTGCTCTCTCTCTCTCTATATATATATGTATACATCTATTTACCCTATAAAAGTATATTCTATTTTTATTTTTTATATACACTTTTTGTATTATACTGTAAACGCGACGTTTTGCCTTTTAAAAAAAGATACCTTTTCGTTTTATTATATTGTAAACGCGACGTTTTGCATTTTAAAAAAAGATACCTTTTCGTTCTATTTTTAAAATTCTAAAATACCAAAACAGTTTCCCTTTCCGTCCTTTTTAAAAAAAAAAAAAAAAAAAGAAAAAAAAAAAAAAATACCAAACAGATTTAACCCTTTAGTTGAGTCCCCGTTTGCTTAGCCAATCAAATCTCAAGAAACAAATCATCTAACCAATAAAAATCCGACACGTGAAAATTCAACGTTTTTTATTTTTAAAATTCTAAAATACCAAACCAGTTTCCCTTTCCGTCCTTTTAAAAAAAAAAAAAAAAAAATACCAAACAGATTTAACCCTTTAGTTGAGTCCGCATTTGCTTAGCCAATCAAATCTCAAGAAACAAATCATCTAACCAATAAAAATCCGACGCGTGGAAATTCAACGTAGCTTTGAGCGCTCTTATAACAGACCGACACGTCTTCTTCTTGTTTAATCGGCGGTTTTTTTTTTTTATTTTAATCCCCTTCTTTAAAAAAAAATTAAAAAAGTTACTTTTTTTTTTATTGTTTCCAAACAATTTCAATCAAATCAACGCGTCGTCTTCTTTTATGTTTACTCGGTTGTTGGTGTCTGAAGAACCTTATATATAATCGGCGGATTGAATCTTGCCTCTCTCATTCTACCTTTTTGGCTTTTTCTTCTACCCATCTCTTCTTTCAACATTTACCATCTAACTCTACTTCAAAAGTCAGTATTTAGTTGGAGCGCATAACCCTATTTTGGCTTAAGGTATGTTTTGTGTTATTTATATTTTTGTTTTTGAGGATACAATGTTTGAATTTTATTTTTATGTGAAGTTTGTTGAACATAATTCAGAATTATTCATGATGTTGTCATTCTTTTGGTTCATGTACATCATATTACAACTCAAAACCCGTAATTTTTTTTTTTTTAAAAGGTATGTTTAAATTTGAATTAAAGAACAATTCTGATTTGGATCTATAAAGAATTAGGGCATGAAACCTTGATTCTTTTACTCACAGAAAAGACCTTTCAACTTCATAGGTAGAGATTTAAATTATTTGACACTTTAAGCCCCTTAAGTAAATTAGTCCATGCAAGCGGAAAGTAGTTTTGTGTTCTTTGAAATTGTAGCTTTGGCTTATGTTGTTGTTGCTGCTATTGTTTGCTTAAAGCATCTGTTTAATCCCTTAGAAAAGGAGAAGTTATAGTTTTCCAAATTCAAACGTTAGAGTTAGTTTATGTTTCAATCTCATGCTAGGTGGCTTGAATCCAGCGGAAAGTAGTTTTGTGTTCTTTGATATTGTAGCTTTGGCTTTTGTTGTTGCTGCTATTGTTTGCTTAAAGCATCTGTTTAATCCCTTAGAAAAGGAGAAATTAACGTTTTCCAAAATTCAACGTTAAGAGTTAGTTTATGTTTCAATCTCATGCTAGGTGGCTTGAATCCTAATGTTATCGCAGAAAATTTTGCACATTAAGAGTTAGTTTTTGTTTTCTTTCTTTCTTTTTTTTTCCCAATGAGTTCTTGTTTTAAACAATTTTAAAATTTAAATTTAAATAAGTGTTCAACTCTATATTTTGGATTTTTTTATTAAAAAATAAACTTTAATTATATACCTTTTGAAAAAAAAATAAAATTAACTTTCTGTAACGTAATTTCTAAAAGACATCAACAGTTAAGATGCTTATTGTGAAGAGTTTATGTTTCAAAAACTCTGTCATGTTATATGATCTCAAGAAAAAAAAAAAAAAACTCTTTCATGTTATGTTTTTCTCTGCAAAAACTTTTTCTCCAACATTGTAAGTGCACTATACTTCTTAAATAAATTTAATATTAATTATTCTCACCTCTGAAAACTTTTTATGTCTCTCAGTATTTCTTTTTATAATTTTAATTGTGAGTTTCTAACAAATTAATATTTGACACTGTAGATGGCAACTCAAAAAAATGGTAAGAAAGTACAGATGACTCCAAAAGAAATACTGTTCGAAAAAAGACCACTACTTTGGGACAATCCTACAGCATGTAGCTCTACTTCACCACCATTTTATATATGGGAAAGGATATTGTCTGAGTTGAATCATAAAATTGATATTGGTTTCAAAGTTCTTTTACAAGAAATACAAAGGTTGACTGAGTTAGTAGAAGCAATCGAGACATCGCACAATAGTGTCATCCACATAAGTTCTGATGATAGTGAAGAGGAGGATCCATCAGAGGAATATTATCCATGTTCTTAAACAAAATGGAATGATCAAGACTTTTTTTAATGTAATCTATATTTTGTTTTATTAAATGTAATGTAAAATAAATGTTAATTGATTAATTGTGTTTGGTGGATAATATAATATATAAGAAGTTATTTTAACATAATGTTTTTTTGAAGAGTTATCTCAAAGAGTTGTCATGACTGTATAAATAGTTCTTTCTAAATTGATAAATTGAAATAACTATTCGGTGAGAATTCATTTTTGTTCTCTTTCAAGATAAACTATCTTCTTAACATAATAAAATGTGTGTATGAATCCATCTCTCTCTCATCATCTTTGTGAAGAAAAAAAATTCTCTTTGGAAAGACTTGTATGCAAATTGAAATACATGGTTAGAACTCTTATAATTACTTCATTTTTTACAATTACTTCCGTTATTGAATCATAAAAATTTGTACTGATCCTGTCAATTTGATTAAATCACAAAATTATATGCTTCCAAACAAAGATACTTTCAAACAAAGATAAAGGACATATTGCAAATTATTTCCAAACAAGTGTCAAAACAATTAACCCTTTTTTTATAATAGAAAAATTAAGAGTTTTAAAAGAAATAAAGTGTTCATTTACTGGGATATTGTATACATATATTCTCCACCAACTGACACGGTAAATAGATATATTTTTGAATAATTTCTCACTAAAACCTTCCATTCTCAAACAACACATGGCATGCCCTCTTGGCAAATTTATTTCTTCTGGTTGAATATATACAAATATATACTGCAAGAGTCTGCGTTTGCTTAGCCAATCAAATCTCAAGAAACAAATCATCTAACCAATAAAAATCCGACGCGTGGAAATTCAACGTAGCTTTGAGCGCTCTTATAGTAGCACAAGTCGTCTCACTCCATTTGACAGTTGAGAATTGTCCCGTCGTTTCATTCTTCACAAATACTCTTTTCAGATCTCACATTCTCTCATCTCTCTCCGTCTTAAATATCCGTCTGAAAACCCACGCAGCTCGCCGGAACTGGTGTTTCCGGTGATCTCCAGCACTCTGATGGAGTCTCACAGCGCCGGACTCCGCCGTGTTCTGGTGCTCGCCTTCTGCATCACCGGCATTTGGTCAGCTTATATATACCAAGCAGTTCTTCAAGAGACCGTGTAATTTTTCTTTTCCATTAGTTTCAATTGTTCAAACCGACACGTCTTCTTCTTGTTTACATGGCAGTTTTTTTTTTTATTCTTTATTTTTTATTCCCTTCTTCTTTGAAAAAAAAAATAAAAAAATTCCTTTTTTTTCATTGTTTCAAAACAATTTCAATCAAACCGACACGTCTTCTTCTTTCACGTCTACTCGGTTGTTGGTGTCTGAAGAATCTTATATATAATCGGCGGATTAGATCTTGCCTCTCTCATTCTACCTTTTTGGCTTCTTCTTCTACCCCTTTTGCTTCTTCTACCCATCTCTTCTTTCAACATTTATTATCTAACTCTACTTCAAAAATCAGTATTTGGTTGAAGCGCATAACTCAAGGCCTATTTTGGCTTAAGGTATGTTTTGTGTTATTTATATTTTTGTTTTTGAGGATATAATGTTTGAATTTTTTTTTTTTTTTCCTGAATGTTTGAATTTTTTTTTCCTATTATGTTTCTTAATTATGTGAAGTTTGTTGACCATAATTCAGAATTATTCATGATGTTCTCGTTCTTTTGGTTCATGTACATCAGATTACAACTCAAAACCCTTAATTTTTTTTTTTTTTTTTTTAAAAGGTATGTTTATATTTGAATTAAAGAACAATTCTGATTTGGATGCGTAAAGAATTAGGGCATGATTTTCTTTGTTGTTTTTCTGTTTCAGAAATATAAATTATTACTTTATCTATACGTAATGGTTAGAGAATTTCATCGATTGCTTTCACTACCATCACATTTTAACGATGCGCATTGCACTTGCCAACACCACATTGCTGTTCCAAACTCATCACATTAAATCTTGAACCTACCTTCTTCACTGATTGTTTATCCTCTCTGTTTTATTCATCAGCTGCATGAGCTGTTGATTTGTTCTCAGTGCCCTGACCTCGGACGGAGTTCGATCTGAAACTTCACTTGTTTATCTCAAATCCGATGACTGGTCGGAGTCGTGCTTGGATCCTCTCCTTTAGTTTTTCTCACCAAGTATCTCCCGAGTCAATCCACAGTCCATCACATATATATATATATATATATATATATATATATATATATATATATATATATTTTTCAGCATTGTACGTAAGCCGAATGGATAACAGTAGGATTTTACCGAATTCTGATAATTTTTATTTAAGTTTGTAAAGACCGTTTAACACATATAATGATCTATTTATATTTTTTTGTCACTGTCCTTAACTTAGTAATTATATATATATATTTTTCCTAATTTAATAAAATAGATTTAAGTATGAAATGAATAAAATTTATACCATAAGTAACATGTAAGAAGGGAAAATGAAAATAAAAAAATAATATAAGTCAAAAGGACAGGAGACTGACTAAAAAAAATAATAGGTCTAGGTACTCATACCCACTATATGTGTGTTTTGCATGTCGCCTACTATTCATGTCGTCTCCTTAATTTATGTGCAAATTTAAGAAAATTTTGATAATTTATTGACTTTATGCATGTATGATATTTTTAGGATAAGTATGAGCCAGTTATGACAGCATATAAATTGGTGACTGTAGATGTTCAATACTAAATCATTTAATTTATTTTAATAAATAAATGTGACTTTTCAAATACCTACTTACACCTCTTCTAGAAGTCACCTTTTAACTGCAAACACCTATATCTAAAATCACCTATTCTAAAAAAACACCTTTTAACTGCACTAAAACCTCTTCAAAAACACCTTTTAAAAAACACATTTTAACCGCACTAACACCTCTTCAAAAAATTACCTTTTAACTATAAACACTTATGTATTCTATTTGTATTTTTTTATATACACCTTTTTATAATAATATAATAGTATATACTTCTCAAATAACTACTAACACCTCTTCTAAAAGTCGTCTTTTATTATTTATATAAAATTAAATCATTTAATTACTGATGTTTCAATCTCATGCTAGGTGGCTTGAATCCTAATGTTATTGCAGAAAATTTTGCACATTAGTTATTGTGATCAACTGCTTACCATTTGTAATTTTAACAGAATTTTGATCAGATGTATGGAACTGTTTGCAAAGCTTGACTTAATTTATGTGTAAATTTAAGAAAATTTTGATAATTTATTTCTTTTTTAAAAAAAAAAAGTAGTAACCTTATTATGTTTATATCAATGACGTATGCAGGTCAAAGAAAATACATTACTAATTTCAAATAAAGGGGATAAAATTTACAAGTGAGTGGAAAATTTATACTTTTCAATTTAATTTTTTTTTTAGCTAGCTTTTTTTCTTTTTCTTTTTTGGTGCATTTAATATTAAAGCATTTATTAGGGTCTTGAATAGTTTATTTTTCCTTACCAGTAAAGCTACTTTCTTATTTAATTTCAACGAATATATAGAATGCATAAAAGCTTGTAATTAGAAATATATATATATATCATCTTTGTATGGTTGACTATTCAATTAAACACATAGATTTTATATTAAGACACCCTCTTAATTTACTTTATATTTTCTACTATTAGATGTAACAATATCATCTTTGTAAGGTGGATTAGACATATATATTTAATATGGAAGCACTATTTTTATTTACTTTTTATTTTCTATTATTAGGAGGAACAATTCAATTAGACACGATAATAGACGCGATAGATCTTTGTATGCTGGACCGTTCAACTAAACACATAGATTTTATATATGAAAACACCAGCTTAATTTACTTTTTTCCCTATTTTTAATTAGATGTAATAAGATCATCTTTGTAAGGTGAACTATTCAATTAGACATATATATTTCATATGGAAACACCATCGCTATTTACTTTATATATTTTCTATTATTAGGTGAAACAATTCGATGAGACACGATAATAGACGTGCTAGATTGAATGCATATTACAGAAATAGATATGCAAGTTTGTCACCTGACCAAAGAGACAACCATATTCAAAACGTAAGAAATTCAATAAAGAAAAGAAAACGAGAGGAGATGGAAAAACCATATAATGACACAATGTCCCATGAGTTGAAGAAGGTCCCACAATGTGAATTTTGTTATGCAAAAAAATTTGAATACGAACCTCCAAGTTTCTGTTGCTCAAATGGTGAAGTAGTCCTAATGTCTACGAATGTGCCTAATGATTTATATGAATTGTTCACAAGCCAAAGTGCATTATCTGTAGACTTCCGCCGTCACTTGCGTGCCTATAATAGTATATTCTCCTTTACATCATTTGGAGTCCGTCTTGATAAAAATTTATCAAATATGAAGACCGGGATCTATACTTTTCGTGCACAAAGTCAAGTATACCATGAATTACCATCACTTACACTTGGAGATAATGGACCGTGTTACCTCCAATTATACTTCTATGACACTGATAATGAATTGCAAAATAGAATGAGAATTCTTAAAGATGCAAATTTGGAAGAGCCGATTGTCGTAAAGTTAATGGAGATATTATCTGCAAATCCATATGAACAGTTTTTCCGAAGGCTAAAAGATATTCCTGTCCAAGAGAGTTATGAGATCATTATAAAAAATGATGTTCGCCTAGACCAAAGAGTTTACAATTCACCTTCATCGGACCAAGTTGCAGCTGTGTGGATAGAAGGAACAAATTCAAATACACGTTCAGAATGAGATATAATTGTTACTGCGCACTCAAGAAGAAGACATAGAGTAAGGCACTACTTTGGATGTTATGATCCATTACAATACCCTTTATTATTTCCATTTGGTGAAATTGGATGGCATCGTAATATCAAAACACGACATCAACCAAGTATCGTTCAACATGTTACATGTGAAGAAGATATTTTTGAACATGATATTGCAACAAGAGTTGAACAAGGTAAATCTTAATGCAATATATTATTTAAATAAACAAAATTGATTCACATATATATTGAAGTGATAATTCAAGAACTTTAATAAATTATTTTACGATGATGCAGCAAGAAGAACAAAAAAGGTTTCATGCAAACAATATTATTGCTACAAACTCCAAATACGTGAAAAAGAACGATCAATTCTATTATATGCTGGAAGACTTTTGCAACAATATGTGGTTGATATATACATTAAGCTTGAATCGACTCGTTTAGATTACTACCGGACACAACAATCACATATTCGATCTGAATTATACCAAGGAATTGTTGATAGCATTGTAGCAGGAGAATCTAGAGGAGATAAAGTTGGAAAAAGGGTTGTTCTTCCCGCTTCTTTCATAGGAGGACCTAGGGATATGCGTAGACGATACTTTGATGCCATGTGTTTGGTTCAGAGATTCGGAAAACCAGACCTTTTTATTACAATGACTTGTAATCCTGATTGGAAAGAAATTCGTGACGAACTGAAATTTGGACAGTTACCACAAGATAGACCAGATTTAACAGCTAGAGTGTTCAGAGCAAAGCTATATGATGTGAAACAACAATTATTTAAAAGATCGATATTTGGAAAAGTGGCAGCGCATGTTCATGTGATTGAGTTTCAAAAAAGAGGTTTGCCACACGCACACATATTACTCATATTTCAATCTGAATTCAAAATTACAAATGCAGAACAATATGACAAATTGGTCTGTGCAGAAATTCCTTCTGAGAATGAAAACCCATCACTTTATCGGAAAGTAGTGAAACATATGATTCATGGTCCTTGCGGAGATCTCAACAAAAAGAATGCATGCATGAAGGATGGGAAATGTAAAAATCTTTATCCACGTAAATTTGTCGAACATACGATTCAAGGTAAAGATTCATACCCTATATACAGAAGAAGAAAAGACAGCCAAATAGTCTTTGTGCGTAATGCAATGTTAGATAACAGATGGGTTGTTCCTTATAATCCATATCTTTTAGAGAGATATGACTGCCATATAAATGTCGAGATATGCTCAGGAATAACAGCAGTAAAGTATCTCTATAAATATATATACAAGGGACATGATCGTGTTGCGATTCACATCTCAAATGTTGATGGAGGGAATTTCGTAGATGAAATAAAAGAATATCAGGATGCACGATGGGTATCACCACAAGAAGCAATGTGGAGACTTTATGAGTTTAACTTAAATGAGATGTATCCTTCGGTTACCAACCTCCAATTACACCTTCCAAATAAACACACAGTTTGGTATTGGGAGAACAAAAACCTAGAATATATCGTTCGTTCTGAAGATATATCACGCACAATGTTGACAGAATTCTTTCATTTAAACTCCATATCTGAAATAAGTAGAGACTATTTGTATAGGGAGATTCCGGAGCATTATGTTTGGAACAAGCAAAATAAATGTTGGAGTCCCAGACACCACAAGGCGGTAATAGGACGAGTTAATGCCGCCAACCCTTCCGAAGGAGAAAGGTATTACTTAAGATTATTGTTAAACCATGTGCATGGACCAACATCATATAAAGATTTATTATATGTTAATGGTCTCCAATGTGTAACGTTTAAAGAGTCGGCAGAAAGAAGAGGTCTACTTGAAAGCGATAATAGCATTGTTGAGTGCCTCAACGATGCTGTATGCTTCCAAATGCCAATGGCTCTTCGAAAGCTTTTTGCAACTTTAATAGTTTTCTGTGACCCAAGTAATGTTAGAAAACTTTGGGATGACTATTTTGAAGCTATGTCAGAAGATTTTTTACCCGACCCCAATTCTTCCCCTGACTACCAACTCATGGAAACACTTAAGAGCATAGAAAACTATTTAATAAGCATGGGCCGGAATATAAATGATTACGATTTGCCAAATATTGATTATGCGAATGATTCCAACAGTTATGATTCCTCTAGAGAGATCACCAACGAAATGGCTATTGTTACTCCATCTGACGATTACAATGCAATAGTAAATCTTAACAATGAGCAAGAAAATGCATATAAAACTATACTTGAATGCATAATCTCAAATCAACCAAACATCTTCTTCATTGATGGGCCAGGGGGTACAGGAAAAACGTATTTGTATCGTGCATTACTTGCGAAGGTTAGATCTGAACATGGAATTGCACTTGCAACTGCAACTTCTGGAGTGGCTTCTTCATTATTACCAGGTGGTAGGACTGCACATTCAAGATTTAAGATTCCTATCATAGCTGACGAGTCAACTACTTGTAACATTTCAAAGCAAAGTTCAACTGCAGAACTCTTACAAAAAGCCAAACTAATTATTTGGGATGAAGCACCAATGGCAAAACATTATGCAATAGAAGCAGTTGATAGAACTCCACAAGATTTACTTGGCAATAATTTATCTTTTGGAGGAAAAGTTGTGGTTTTTGGCGGAGATTTCAGACAAGTGTTACCCGTACTACCACGAGCGACTAGAGCTGAAACTATTGAAGCAAGTCTGGTAAAGTCTAAATTATGGAAAAAAAATGAAGAAAATACGATTGGAAAAGAACATGAGAGCAAGAAATGATCAATCATTTACAGAATTTTTACTACGAGTAGGCAACGGAGAGGAGCTGACTTTATTAGACAACATGATTCAACTACCGAAAGAGATAGTTTTAAACTCTATAATTGAAGAAAACTCTGAAAATGCATTGATAGATGCTATATTTCCGTCCCTTCAAGAAAATTCTCACTTAGCGGAATACATAACTAATCGAGCAATTTTAGCAACAAGAAATGATTTTGTTGATAAAATAAACGGTCAGCTCATTGAACGTTTTCCGGGAGAATCTTCAACATACTATAGCTTTGATAAAGCAAATGATGATGCTGGTACCTACTACCAAGAAGAATTTCTGAATTCTTTACTCCCAAACGGCCTTCCACCTCATAGACTAATGTTGAAAATTAATTGTCCTATACTTTTACTAAGAAATTTAGATCCTGCAAATAGATTATGTAACGGGACTAGGCTTATATGTCGTGGCACAAAAGATAACATAATCGCTGCTGAAATTTGCCATCGACAACATGTAGGGAAACAAGTACTGATTCCAAGGATACCTCTTTCCCCGGCAGAGAGTGAGGGATTGCCTTTTTGTTTTACTAGAAAACAGTTTCCAATACGATTAAGTTTTGCAATGACAATAAATAAGGCACAAGGGCAAACAATTCCTCATGTAGGAATATATCTTCCAGAGCATGTATTCTCACATGGACAACTATATGTGGCGTTATCTAGAGGAACATCAATGTCGACAACTAAAGTCTATGTTAAAAAAGACCAAAGAATTGAAGGCAATGCTAAATATACAAAAAATGTTGTCTACAAAGAGGTTTTGTTGCCAAGCATGTAAGAAAGTTTTCATATATATATATATATTGCAATCTTCCACTTAAATTATTATTATTATTATTTACAATTTTCCACTTACATTAAACGTATTATTGTTTTTATCTTGTGTTACAGAAACAATCTTCAACATGAGGAACCAATGTACTTTTAACACTATAAATTAGCTAGATGTTTTGCAAAGGAATTGGACAATAAAGGTGATTGTACTTCGTAGAGGAAATGTTGAAAACTACCATAATGACAAAGGATCAGGCCAAATATTGAAAGTAATTCTAATGGATGAAGAAGTAAGTTTATTATCCATTACTTTTAGTATTCTATATTTATATTTTTTGATATTGATATATATATATATATATGTCAATATTATTTGATCATCTTTTACAATTTAGGGAACACAAATTCAAGCTGCATTGTTCAATGATGTGGTCACCATATTCAAGGAATCCCTAGCTCTTCATAAAACTTATATAATTTCTAATGGAATTGTGAGTCGAGTGAACCACAAATATAGAAATGTTCACAAGGAATTCGAATTAAAGTTTACAACCGAAACATCAATTGAAATCATTGAGAAAGAAAAAATAAGTTTGAACAAAATAAATTACAATTTTGTTGATTTCGAAGAGATAAACAAACACATTGACAGCAAAGAGACAATTGGTTAATTCCCTTCAAATCTTTGTTTATATATATATTTTTTAACATTGAACTCAATTGTGAATCACAATATATCTCAATTGAATATATGAAACTAACTTGTTAAGCTTGCAGATGCTTTCGGAATCGTTATTCAAGCAAATTCCATGTTGATCAAATCTAAGAAGAAAAGTGATGGAATATCTAAAATGTGTAACATCACTATAATAGATACAAAGTGAGTAAAACTATTTTTCACAAATTCCTATTTTTAGAATAAATACTTGAAGTAATTATTAAACTATATAACAGGTCAAGAATGACGACGTTGACATTATGGGCAGATCTTGCAGAAAATGAAGGACAAAAAATAATTAAAATGGTAAACAAGAGACCAATAATCACTTTAACAAATGTGGTAGTTAACATTTACAAAGATACACTACATATAAATCGACATCAATGTTCTCATTTTTCTTTCCTTTTTTTTGAATCAATGTTCTCATTTTACAATCTATCTTTCCTTATGATGCTACAAATATATAATTAAATAATTGTACTTTTAAGGTGTCGCTCTTCAAACACATCCAGGATCCACATTGCAGATCAATATGGACATCGACGAAGTAAACACATTAAGAAAATGGTTTGTTTTCTTCTACTAAAAATAGTTACTTTGATCCATAAATTTAAATACTTTAAAGTATTCAATATATATAGTAATCATTACATACATACAAATTAAGTTATCACACGTACATACTACAAATGCAGGTTTGATAAAACTATATCCGGCAATAATATAGGTGCTCTCATTATGAATTCAAAATCTAAAGCTTTTGATGGAGCCGAAAAAATTTGTCTCAACGAGATTATTGGAAAATCAAAAACTGCATTTATGGTATGAATCTGTATACATTTGTTTTTTAGTATAGACTTTCCATAATTATTTAATTTATTATATTAGTTTTCTTATTAAATGTTTTTTTTTTTAAAAAAAATTATTCATACAAAAATAAAATTTACTTATCATTGTTTAGAAAACAAATTATTATTTCGAAGCAACAATTCAAGAAATTGAAAATGAAAAGAAACCATGGTACGACGCTTGTATGGAATGCAACAAGAAAGTCAAACTACTGAACAGTGGTATTGTTTGTACCAATTGCAACATAAAGAATGTAAAATGCGTTCAAAGGTATTCAATTTTTATTATGATTATTACTTTTAAAATTACCTTAGTTTTAAAAACTTTATAAACGTAAATAACTTATTATTGTAATTGGTCATTATGCAGATTTGTGATGCGACTAAAAGTGACAGATACAAATGCAGAAGCAAAGATAACAGTTTTTGATGATTGTCAGTCACTAATAAATTGTCGTTTGGAAGATCTTCTACGACTAAAAAATGAGGTGACAATTTGGAATCATTAATAATATTTTAATATAAGAAAAAAAATTGTGCATTACATTATATAATAAATTATATATATATATATATATATATATATATATATATATATATAATTTATAAAAGAAAAATAAGGTTAGTTTTTTTTTTTCTTATAAATATTTGAAGGAAGAAGAAACAAATGAGTTCAGTGACATTGTTAAAAGATGTGAAGGGAAGTCATTTATGTTTCTGGTGAAAATAGACAACAACAATGATGAATTAATCAGAGGCCTCTTCGTCGCACAAGCAGTTAAAAAAGTTGGCCGAGACAATGATACAACAGAAGAACTTGGCACAGAACTTAGCATTGACAATGATACAACAGAAGAACTTAGCACTGACAATCATCCAATTGCAGAACTTCGATCTCCCAAAAGGATAAAACGCTCTTTCCAAAGGAAAAATATAAAAATTCAGAATATTGATTCATAGTGTGTTAACTCTCATTGTTTATAATAATTAGTAATAATGCACCACATTGCGAATACTATTTGACCACAGTCCACTCTAGAATACAATATAGTTATTTTTACACTCGCCATGTTATAAATTTCTGAATTCATTTTTCTCAATTCTTGGTAATACATTAAGAATTGATCGAAATAAATTTTCATTGATATAATTAATTGATTAATTGTGTTTGGTAGAGATAAAATATATAAAAAGTTATTTTAACATAATGTATTTAATAATTAGATAGAAAGATGATTAAAACCCTCATATAAATCATATTAATATTTTAATTTGAATTAACATCTATTCCGTAAATCTAAATTAACTTTTTGATTTAAAAAAAAAAATAAAGTCAATTTTATTTTATTTTGAGATAAAATAATATATAAAATACCAATTATTTATCTAATATAAATTTTTCTTTACGTGCATTGCACGTGTTAATTTTCTATTATATATAAATATGTATTTGTTCATTCCCTTCAATCTATATAATAAAAGCAAAGTCTAGTGTCCATCTCATATTTAGGAACTAGTTTGAGAAGAACCAACTCCGTGAAGTTGGGAACATTTGGGCTTTTGTAATGTTATTATACAAGCAAAAAAAAGGTTGTTCCTACATCGGGCAAGTGGAGAGGGGTTAGCCTCTGACAAATCTAGTATATAACAAAGAGTTATCTAAAACGAATAAAATTCACGCAGCCGATAGTTTTCGTGGACCCACGCAAAGAATTGACAAGTCTTAGATCCCAGCAAACCGTAACACAATATTGAATATGCTAGACAAACCAAATTATTAATATGTTCAACCCTTTATGAAGCATTATTTTTAAAAAAATTGGTTTACTTGTAAAATAACTAAAAACGAGATAATATGTTATATTTTATTAAAAGAGTATACTTATGATGTAATGTACTTGCTGACGCATTTAATATTTACTCAGCATTTAATATCTACTCCTTCCAAGCACCCTCGGCTTCAAGTTTTCTTCTCTTTGGGGGTTGGTCACTACAACCAAATCCACCTGCGAGTGTTGGTCGCGTGTGACTCACATCCCTGGCCCTCCTTTTTGCTATGTTCTTGTGATATATAAATAAATAAATATATATATATATATATAGATTATTTCTAACAAATAAATAAATAACATTGTGCCATCCTTTTGCAGAATAAAACTCTCCATCTTCTGTTTTAAAAGTGTTAGAATGATTTAACTTTTAACTTTCGCTTACAATTTTAAGTTTTTAGAGGCCATAATTTACATAGCTCGCTTAGCTCTAAGGCTCTAGATATCAAATTCCTACCCAGTCACGCATCTTTTTTTCTTTTGAGGCAAAGGGAATTACATATATTCTCTCCTCCCCTCACAATACTCACCCTCTTATCCCCTTACATTTTTTCATTCACACACACCCAAACCCATCTTTATATATAGAAACTTTAAAACCCAATTTCTTGTTGAGAAAGATTCCCTAACTTGACATAGAAGGAGTTTTCATACCAATCAGAACTCTAAAATAGATACCTACTCAATTCACAAATTCCTTCTTCAAGTTTTCAGCCTTCCAAAGTGGAGTCTTCACTCGTCACTCCAGATGGCCATCTGGTTCATTTAAAGCGA